TTTTTTTTTTTTTTGGTTCTGCTTTGTTAAAAAAGAACGACCAATGGTCCGATTTTATTCGATGTGCACCCTCCCTGTAAAAGTTCTGGTTACGGCCCTGCAGGAAAAGTGGAACTGTACTTTCTGGAAAATGTATCAATTTCCTGCAGAACTGAACAGGTTGGAACTATACTTTCTGGAAAATGTATCAATTTCCTGCAGAACTGAACAGGTTGCAACGGAGTTTACAATAAAAAACCAGAATCTTTATGTAACGATGGAAAGTGCATTAGCCCTAAGTAACCAATCTAGATTCATATAACAGACGCTGTGTGTAACAGTCTGTCATAGCCTGCTTTTTTTTTTCGCGATACAACTCGAACGAAAATTATCTCCGCGCCTAACAGCAATCTTTAGATTTGAATACTTACAGGTACAAAAGGTAGAAAGCTCCATGGAATGTTAGCTTCGTAATTCTGGTCAACTTGTTATTATCTAAAAATCTATGATTTCAAATTAAGCTTATTCAAATTATGCTTAACATTTTGACTAACTGTTGACGTCATATCATGGTAAATCGTAAGAGGACATACTATGCTAAACCATGGGAATTTTTTTAAGTTAAAGTTGGTATAAAACTGCATATTGGCAAGACTTACAAGTATCCAAGCCAACGAKAATCTTGAAATGCCATGTCTTCGATTTCTGTTAATCCTGTTTTCATGGCAGTACTGGTATTCGAAAAAGAATATCGAATCGAAATGCATTTTCTACATATGTGTTGGGAAAGCTGAAGACTTTGCACTATGCTCTTGGAGGTTCACAACAGCTGAACACTGAATGACTGAGATACTTACAAAAACAAAAGCTCTGTGCACTTTTTGAGAAATTTGTTGGTTATCTTAGTTAGTTGATTTTTACTGATGTCCCTTAAAGGAAACAAAGAGAGATCATAAATGTGATTTAAAAAGGCGAAACACGCCACTGACAATGTACAACTTCGATAACTTCTTGGGTCGCAAGGCATTATGGGACCGTCCGGGGGGGAGCAAATAAAACTTTGTTATGGTAATAACGTCGATTGATATTAACAGCTCACCACAAGAGAATACAACGAAAGATGAATTAAGACGGCTCATTGATACCTTTACCCACRAAAGAAAGGCACACACACGAACCTCTATATATTTTCATCTTTTCATTTTCATTTTATCATTTTTGTCATCTTTTTTTTTTTTGGCCCTTGGCAAGATGGACGCCGTACCGTCGAAGTAGTCTATTCTGGACGCACCATTAKTTCAAAGTCTACTTTTAAACCTATAGATTTTATCGAAACAATTAAACAACCTGTTCTGGGCTATAACCGCGGTTTTTGACTAGCGGCAGTGAAATTTAGATTAAGAGCCGAACCATTTGTAAAAGTCAATTATATTGTAAAGAATATGCAAGTCGAGCAAAAACAATTCATTTGAAATCTCACGGACTTTTAATGGTACCTGTTAATACTAGCTGACTTATAAACGCGGCTAAGCCTGTGCAAATGAGTCTGTGGTCTTCAAATACAGCGGTATGAATCGAATGCGAAAGTGGTGCATTCTTCAACAAGCCGTTGCCCAAATGTCCGAGTTCTCAGAATGACGAAAACCGCATTAAGATTTGAATAATCGTAGTGCAATTACATACGCCACCATYGATTACATCGATAGAAGAGTAATACTGGACGAAAAAAGTATTTAGAACCTAGGCCGGGACAGGGCTGAAAAAATATGCGCATGCGCCAAATTTTCCAAGGAAACGAACAATGCTTGAAAACTTGGCATCTAACACGAAAATTGTTCGGGTATTTTTCTAGTACAAACATAAAAGATCTACACATAACGAAAATAAGACTTTTTAAAAAAAATAAATTCAAAATATGTTTAATAGAATCAGTTGAACCCGCGATATTACACACAACCGCTGACTCGTTTTTCAGCCCTGTTCAACCCAGGGTAGATTAACTCCAACATTTTGAAAACAACTCACAAGAGATATAATGCCTTTACCCCCAGAAATAAATCGTCAGGTAGATCTCCTAGTTGGTTTGCACTTAAGTACCTATAAAAAAGAAAACRCAAAGTGTTGAAAACAAGAAAAAGCAATAACTAGGCAGATCATTTTCCATTGGATGCGCTCTGTATAATATCTGACTGGCAAAATGGTCTGGCCTTATTCACATTGCTCTTTGTATCTATTTACTGGCACAGGAAACCCATATATGAAATAACATGCACTACTTACAATTCCATCGTGTCTGTATTTTGAAATAGATGAGCTGAAATGTTGGTAATTCTATTAAATCTTAAATCCCTATTAAAAGAAAACAGAAACTTTTCTTTATTAACTTATGCGTGCAAATATGACAGAACCACAAACTTGGATTGGCCGGTAAACCACCGAAAATGAAATTTCAATTCTTAAAACTTAAGAGGAAATTTTTTTCAATAATGAGAAATAATGGCAAAAAGCGCCAAAAACTAGACTTTCATATGAGTTTTGATCCCAATTTTCGTTTTGGGTTTACACTCAAAACCTTTTTTAAACAGTTAGAAACTGATGTACTATGATAAAATGCCTKTGTGAAGCGTTATTTTCAATTGTACRAAGATGTTTTGTTGCATTTGTGTTAGAATGTTGCTTTGTCAGGCTTTTTTATAGAAAATATATGGGAAATAAGCAAATAAAGGCCTAAACCTCATTTTCGCATAAAGGTTTTGCTTTGGGTTAACACTTTGATTCCATCTCCACTTCCAAACAAGTTAAACTTTCTGAATAACAAGATTTTAGCCTTGTACAACAGCCTTTCTTTTGGCGCTTACTGCTTCAATACAAAAAGAATTCTCTCTTAAAACTTAAGYGTAAAGGACACATGATGCGACGTAGGCAATATCGCATCGTGTGTCCACACCTCAAGACTTCCCAAAAGGTTTGAGATGRGAGAACATTCCGAAACATTATGGTTCCCTGAGCCCGCGTTCTTTTAGGTCTTTTCCGATCAAGAGAAGTAATTTTCTGGAAATCACTTTTCTCAAATTTATACTTACGTATATTCAAGACCTCGAGAATCAAGAGATCTGTCTTCAATCGAAGAAATACTGTTGTTTTTTAAATCTCTAAGGAATTGAAATAAAATTCGAACTTCAAATTATTTTCATTTTGAGTTCATGCGCATGTGCATGTTGGACCGTGGGATTTCAAAKGGTTTGTGTTGTTSAAGYTGTGCATTCTTTACTTAGCTATTGGCATTTGTGAAAATCGGAGTTGCAATAGGGGTATTGTACGACTTTATACACCGTTCTCATAATGGCTGACGACCGCACAAAAACGAGGTCACCCAGTTATCTTGCAAGGCTGAGCAARGCTGCTCATTCAGAATAAAGGTGGATAGCGCGAATTCAGGTCAAAACAAGAGGTAAATTTCAATAATTCACTTCTACAAACGCATTTAAAGTACTTTTATATCTCGTATTGTGAACTAATGACTGGTGACCTCGTTTTCGTGCCCTTTTCAGCCATTATGAGAACGGTGTATATACGCGTTAAAGGCTCTGGCAGTGAGGTCACAAAAATGAAAATTAATAAACATTATTAATATAATTTTAGACTTTGATATAGATATTCATTCTTTGATTTATGAGACGATATAATCACTGCTCGAGCGGTGATTATGAAGCTTCCCAAACTTTACAAGCGGAACTAATACTTAAACGTTTTTAATCCGAATTTCGTATTTTCTCTGATCATATCTAAAATTATACAGCTAAAACAATATATATCGGCGAATAATTGTTAAATCATATATTAAAAAATTACATTGTCCTAAGGCGCTTTAGATCTCCAAAGTAGTGCCTTTCGATAATCACCAGACGATTTGAAGACAATATTCTGCAACAGAAAGTATGTTGAGGTGAATTGTAATCATTCGTACTGAGAAAGAGAGAGAGAGAAGTGGCCGCCATGTTGGTTGATGTAACCAAACAAATTCAACCAATATGGCGGCTAAAATAAAAAAACAGAAATATAAGAAACCGATGCCGTAAAAATAACGGAATTCAAGAAACTTGCAAGGCCATCCTACACGTTAGGATTACTTTGCACCTTGCCTCGCCTCGAGCAAAATTGTTTCAGGTTGAACGAAAATATGTTAGTTGCACATTGGTCCCGGGGGGTACTCCGCCAGGATTTGGGTAGGGGTGTTCCGCTGGGATTCTGAAAGGGGTACCATGTTTATGACAAAAAAGCTCAAATTTGTAGACCCTGTTTATGACAAAAAATATAATCAATTGCACTGAGTTCCTGTTTCAATTATCATGTCATCTCGTTTTTTTACGACTATAATAACCAGTTTCGGTCAATACGAAAGTAGAAACCCTGAATATGACAGGAAACTCAGGAAGAACTTGAGTGAAATTGCTTACCCTGTTTATGACAAGAAGCTCGAAAAACCATACCCTGTTCAGCGGATCATCCCCGTATAGTCCATATATGGGAGTACTCCCCCCCCCGTTACATTGGCTAACACTAAAACTTGTTACAAGTTGCAGAAAGTACGTTTCTGCAACACAAAATGTGAGAATACCAGTTGCGCAAGCGTATGATAGAAAAAAATGCAGCAATTTTGTAATAATGACGTGTAATAGGAAAGAAAAGAAGGAAGGAAAAAAGAAGATTAAGATAAAGATAAAGATAAGATAAAAATAAAATAACAGACGAGGTACGCAACTTACATATTTCGGCAATTGATTGGAAACGTATTTGGTTCAATATGTTGAATGATGTTATCTGAAAGCGCACTTGAACAATTGAAAAAAAACCTGGATTAGAATTTAAATGTTATTCTAAATTCCAATTCCATCATGGAACGAGGGCCACAGGTTTGTTAGCCACTGGCTATTAAAAGTTACCCTCGTAAAAACAAGGACAATTTTTTATTTTTTTAAACGAGCAATAACGRTTTTGAGTAGATAATTTAAATACTTAAGAAGATCTTAAACTTACTTTTTGCATAGACGAAAATGAACTGAGACAAATGTTTTTTTTTTTGATTTTTATTATCATTTTAACGAATGAGTAATTGAATTGAAGAAAACATTGTAACTATAGAAAAATAAGCGGTAATAGTGATCGATGTTTCGACATCATCAGATATCATTATGATAATATTTTACTATCACAATGTCTTTTTATCGAATCATTTATTTTATTTAAAAAACATTAAATATTTAAAATTTTGGCATTTCCACACCCTTTTTATACTACTTACATATGTACGAGTAATGGTAGACTAATGAATGATCCCTCTTCGATAAACCTAATTYTGTTTCGTGACAAATATCTACGATATAACCAAAATGTAACAACCACAATTTAACTTTAGTCGCTGCAAAGCAATAACATCACATTTCTAGTGGTTTGAACAATAAGAAAACCAATGGTGGTGAAGCGGTATGTAGTACAGTGGAGCTCACCTGAGGTTTCGGGTTCGATTCCTTTCTTTAGCATCGTATGTGAGTAGAGTTTTTAGTCTCTTCCTTGACTCAAGAGGTTTTTTTCGGTTTTCCTCCCTCCGCGAAACTTAACATGTTAATTTCCAATTCGATCTGTGAGTTAGCCGTGCCCTGACTTTGATCAGCTCAGAGGTTGTTTTAGGACTCGATCTGTGAGTTAGCCGTGCCCTGACTTTGATCAGCCCAGA